TGTGTGTGTGTGTGTGTGTGCTAGCTGTCAATCAAACTGTGGTATCCACCCCCTTTCTGGTCTGTTTGACTCTAAATGATAATCTACTAATTGAACATCAGCTGTGTTGAAGACGTTTTGGGTTTTCTGATCCTACGAAGCTCGTTCACTTCTCATCGGGGTAAATCACCATGGTAACGTGCTGAACGGATCACCTGCTCCAGGTTGAGTTGGAGAGAAGAGATCAAACTGTATAAAAGCTCCGCCCACTGACCAATCAATTGAACGATGACGTCACTGTTCTTAGAGGATCCTGTGGAGCTGGTGTGGATCGTTAGAGTCTCTGAGGAGGAAGAGGGTCTTCAGAGATCTTGTGTTTGGGGGGTTAGAAAGTTTACAGATTTACGTTATGACAGCCCCCCCCCCCCCCCCTCTGAGACAGTCGGCCCTCACCAAAGTGACTCTAGACTCTCCTTAAAGGGACGGATAAGGGAAGTTTAAAACAACGTCTGGTGGTTAAGTTCACTTGGACGCTGTTGAACTCGCTCTGTAGTTCAGGCTCACACGTGGCGTCCACACATGGTGTTTATCACGCCAGGCGTAATCGAGGCAACTGTGATGAATTTAAAAACTCAAACATGTCAGTGTGGGTGTGGCCTCAGTTTGGATCTTTGAGGCTGACCGACAGTCAACCAACGAGAGTGAAGACAGTTGAATCAAAGGGATCCAGCTCTTTATCGTCTTCCTGTGGAAACACCGAGTGTGTGTTGTTTTTTCCTGTTGTTGGACTTGTTACCTCTGATAAGTAATCAGATCAGTTTTTGTAATCAGTTACTGAGAGAAACTTAATTCTCTCTCTTTCTTTCTCTCACTTTTTTTTTCTTTGATCATTTCCTTCTTCCTGTTTCCTTTTGGGTTTCACGTCCTGTTCTCAGGGACGTCCAGAGAAATGTTGTCTCGTCCTGTCCTGCTGGACTCTGACAGGCCAGAGGACGTCTGATCCTCTCAAACAGAATAAAGTTCATGTGTTCACACAAAACAAACCTGAGAACATCTGATCCCAGAGCTGTTGAGTCTACACACTGATAAACTCTGTGTGTGTTTGATTTATTGTGAATCCCGAGCGATGAGATCTCAGGACGCACCCGGATACGTTCACACCCGACTTAGAGCCGACTACGAGTTATGGGATCACACAAGACAGATGTTAAATCTTCCTCTCTCGTTCTTTCAGGTCACACGACTTTTTAACTCCATCTATAGTAAAGCCGATGAACTGCATCTGCATCGCAGCTAACCGCTAACAGCAGCTAACCGCTAACAGCAGCTAACCAGCCTAACAGCAACCAGTCAGTTACAGTCAGTGACCAGCGGGTGGTGCTGAAGCTGCTGCATGGCCACAGGAGTGAACTACTGGAGCTCATATGAACCTGGTTACAAGGTGAGAAGCAGTTTAGTTTATAGGTTGTTGTAGGTTAGTTAACAGTGTTATAGGTTAGTTAACAGTGTTATAGGTTAGTTAACAGTGTTATAGGTTAGTTAACAATGTTATAGGTCAGTTAACAGTGTTATAGGTTAGTTAACAGTGTTATAGGTTTGTTAACAGTGTTTTAGGTTAGTTTAAAGTGTTATAGGTTCGTTTACAGTGTTATAGGTTAGTTTGGAGTGATATAGGTTAGTTACAGTGTTATAGGTTAGTTACAGTGTTATAGGTTAACAGTGTGATAGGTTAGTTAACAGTGTTATAGATTAGTTTATAGGTTGTTATAGGTTAGTTTACAGTGTTATAGGTTAGTTTACAGTGTTATAGGTTAGTTTGGAGTGTTATAGGTTAGTTTACAGTGTTAAAGGTTAGTTTGGAGTGTTATAGGTTAGTTAACAGTGTTAAAGGTTAGTTACAGTGTTATAGGTTAGTTTACAGTGTTATAGGTTAGTTTACAGTGTTATAGGTTAGTTTGGAGTGTTATAGGTTAGTTAACAGTGTTAAAGGTTAGTTACAGTGTTATAGGTTAGTTAACAGTGTTATAGGTTAGTTAACAGTGTTATAGATTAGTTTATAGGTTGTTGTAGGTTAGTTAACAGTGTTATAGGTTAGTTTACAGTGTTAAAGGTTAGTTTGGAGTGGTAGTGGTATAGATCAGGGCTGTTCAAAGTGTGGGGCACGCCTCCCCTAGGGGCCAGAGTTCTTCAGGGGGGGCGCGATTGTGGTGATGTGAGGTGTTAAAAAAAAGCAGATGTTTGAAATATGTAAAAAAAAAAAAAGATGTTCTAAAAGTACAGAAATGTGTAAAAATGTGTTCAACAACTTTTATTAATTAAAACATTAATAAAACATTAAGTATAGCAACAGCAAAAAAAAGTGGGGGGCAGTTGTTTATTTGCTCTCCCAGGGGGGGGGGCTACCTCTCCCACACTTTGAAAACCCTGGTATATCCACACACACTGTTCTAACTGATACTGTGTTGACTTCCTGACACGTCATGGTCATTTCCTGTACAGGTGAGAGAGTGTGTGTGGGGCGGAGAGCAGGACTCGAGCAGCGAGGACGGAGGAGGAGAGGTCACATGGGAAACAGCCGCCATGGAGGTCAAGGGTCAAATCATCACAACACCTGGTGAGAACAAACTACTGAGTTTATAACAGAGATGAGAGGTGTGTGTGTGTGTGTGTGTGTGGGAGAGACACACTAACTGTGTGTGTGATACACTGACTCTGTGTGTGTGTGTGTGTGTGTGTGTGTGTGTGTGTGTGTGTGTGTGTGTGTGTGCAGACCCTCTCACTTGTCCGGACAAGAAGCAGAGGGAGCGAATGACAGAGTTGCAGGACAGGAGGCGGAGCCTGCAGGCGCTGCTGAGGACACGATTGGCTGAACTCAGACGCATCTGTCTGCAGGAGGCGGTGAGTGATGTCATAGTTAGACCCCTCCCCCAAAGAGGGATCATCCTAAATCATCTGATCCTGGATCTGTGCAGTTTTGTGTAAATGAAGTGAAGGTGAAACATGAAGGTGAGTTTTTTTGTTTGTTTTCGTTGGCCAGGAGCTGACCGGTGCGGTGCCCAGTGACTTCCCCCTGGAGGCGGGAGAGAAGCCCCCCTGTGTCCGACGAAGGGGGGGAGTGTCTCGCCAAGGAAACAGGAAGTATCGAGCAGAGGTGAGCAGCTGATAACTCTACCTGATCTGAAGAAATCTGTGTGTGACGTTTTTAAACCTGCATGTGTGTGTTTGTGTGTGTGTGTGTGTGTGTGTGTGTGTGTGTGTGTGTGTAGGAGGAAGACTCTCAGCGTTTGAAGCCGAAGAAAACTTTATTCAGTGCAGCTCTGAGGAAACACAGTGACTCTGAACACAACACACACAATCAAACACACACACACCACGGCAAGAGGACTGTGCACAGAGGCTGCCACACAGGTAACACACACACACACACACACACACTTGGTGGTGGTTGAGAGGCATTTGTTCCAGGAAGACGAGGAAATCTGCCTCTTCCTGCTTTTATTCTGAAACTATTTGTGATTCTTTGTGTGTGTGTGTGTATTTTCAGACGACACAGTGAGGTCAGAGAGCAGCTCGACATCAGACTCAACAGGACATGACAATGGTAACACACACACACACACACACACATTAGTGGTATTGTAGCTGCACTGCCCCCTGCTGGCTGAGAGTGGTCAAAACATTTCACTCTTTCCAGCTGTCAGCATGTGCTTGTTTGATTGACAGTTGCTTGTTTGATTGACAGTTGCCTGTGACAGCATGTTGTGATTTAATTTCTGTCAGAAGACAGCGTGTCTCAGTGTCGCCCCCCGCTGGTCTCTGCTGCTTCTCCAGTGGAGGTTTTCTACCACAACAAAACCAGAAGGAACTCGCTGCACATCAGGTACATTTATCTCCACATTTAGCATGTTAGCTTCAACATTTAGCATGTTAGCTTCAACATTTAGCATGTTAGCTTCAACATTTAGCATGTTAGCTTTGACATTTAGATTATTAACTTTGACATGCAGCATGGATCTGCTGTAAAAGGGTTGTGTCATAAAAGACTTATGAAACAAATAATGACTGATTATTTTTGCTGTTAATCTATAGTAACTATGATCAGTCTTTCTGTTTCAGGACCGATCATCCAGAGACTCCTCAGTCCCACAAGCCCCTCCCCCTGCTGCCCACCCCCCCTCCCCCTCTATCACAGGACTCCTCCTCGTTCCCTTTTGACCAAGTAGCAGCAGGTGAGGGCGGGATCAGGGTGAACGCAGCTCGTCGGAGCAGTAGCTCAGACGGCCTCCTGGACCATGTCACCCCCACAGAGGAGGAGGGGGTAGCACAGCATGGAGGACTGAGGTTAAATGGCGTGCCAGCGTCCAGAGGAACTAACGTCTCTGGAGTGTTCAGGAGCTCCGAGGTGCTGATGGACGGACGAACAAGGATAAATAACAGACCCACTGAGGCAGGGGGAGGAAGAGGAGGAAGAGGAGGGGGGTACAGTGAGGTCCTGCTGGATTATGTCTGGGGGAAACAGCAGCTGCAGCGACAGCAGTCAAACACTAATAACAGGCAGCCAATCACATCCCAGCACCAGCTGCTCTACAATGGTTTCTCCTCCCAGCAGCCCCCAGGTGCCCCGCCTACCTTCCGTGGTCACTATGGCGACCAACGACAAGTCAAAGTGACCCGCACCAAATCCTGTGGCCCCTTCCTCCCGGTGCAACAGAGTCAGACCGATACCCATAATCCTCCTCTGTCCACCATTCAGCCTGACCCTCACCCCCACCTGCTACCTCCCCGACCCACACAGCTGCCCCCCACCCAGGATGCCCAGCTGGAGGAGGCCACCCGGAGCCTCCACAAGGCCCTGGCCCTAGAAGGTAAATAGTGCTGACACCACACAACAGAAAACACCTGAGAACTCACAAAAACATCAGAGTCCACCTTTAAGAAACTTTTCAGTCCACCTTAAACAAAGAGTCTGTCTTAAAAACAGAGTTTGAATCTGCTGTAACGGTTCTGATCTCTTGGCAGGTCTGAGGGACTGGTACCTGAGGAACACACTGGGCTCAATCCACCAAAACCAAAACCATGCCAATGGAACGGTGAGCACAGGTGTCTCCACTAAGGTGAATGGAGGGGTCAAAGGTCAGTCAGGTGTGGGTGGAGCTCTGCAGCGTAGACGAACGACTCATGGCGTCATCCAACAATCGAGCTATCAGACAGAGACCAGTCATCATCATACTCTGTCACATCAGAAACAGACGCTGCCACATTCAGCCACATTCCACGGACACCCGCTCCACGGCAGGTAGGAGTCTGCTCACCTGTCCAGGTAAGAACACCTGAGCTCTGTGCCTGACCACCCATCTCTTTCTCTCTCTCACTCTCAGGTCTGTGGACAACTCTCTCTACAATGACTCCTTCCCACCTCAGAAACAGGAAGTTCCTCTCAGAGATCTGTCTGTGGACCAGCCGTCTCCAGGGACCCTGGTCTGACTCACCGTCTAATCAGAACAACAGAAACAGACCAATCCCAGGCAGGCGTGCTATCCTGCATCCAGGTGACTGAATCAAACACTCCTGTGGGGGTCCTGGTCCTGGTGGATGTTCTTTGTCTGCTATAGAACCTCCTCTGGTTCTCCAGGATCTGCAGCTTCAAACAGTGTTTCAGGTTCCAGCAGCAGCGTCTCACAGGAGGATGTTACTGTCCAGGTTAAATCTGGGGGAGACTCAACAGAACGTCTGGATAAACCACAAACAAACCAGGTCTGACACAGACCTCCAACCCAACCTGGGTCAAACCCTGGTCAAAGGTTAATCTGGACATACGTCAGCTGAGCTTCCTGTCAGACAGGTTCAGTCACTGCTTGGCTTTAAATAACTAATATCAGGGATGAAGATGAACTGGATGAAACTGTACCTGTAAACGTCATGTGATGACCCTCCAGGTCTGATCCCCCTGAATGGAGGTTCAGGTTTACTTCTAAAGTTGTTTCTAACTTTTCTATGACGATGTCCTCATCTCTCAAGCCGTTTTCAGATCTGCACTGACTCCTGGAACTTTTCCTGCAGCCTCCTGGTAAAATGTCTGGACGTGTTGATGAGGTTTCTAACACGTGACGGACATGAAACTGGAAGAATCCAAATATCTCAGGATAAAGAAGAGGAGCCGTACATGTAGAAGACGAAGACATCAACTTGGAAAGACGAGGAGATTCCAGAGCTTTTGGTGATATGGGCCGACGCCGGTTTTCCCCACATTTTTCTGTTGTGAACAAGTCCGACTCGGACAACCTCCTGCTGCTTCTTCAGATGAGAAAGATGAACCCATGTCTGAAAACTGTTTCAGACTCTGCTAAGACAATCAGGACACATCAGAGTTTTTATGAGAACTTTTGATAAGTGTTGATGATGATGATGATGATGATGATGATGAGGATGATGATGATGATGATGATGATGATGATCATGATGATGCACTCTCACCAGCTCAGTCCAGGAAATCAGCAGTTTATAAAGTCTGAAAGATTTTGATAAAGTGATCAGATCAGGTGTTTGATTCCTCAGGTGAGTCCTTCAGAAACCAGCTGGTGGTGTTTTTCAGGTGTTTTTACAGTTTGGATTTCAACGTGCGGCAGCTCGGTCTCAGTGTCAGAACCAGATCCAAATGCTGCACGAGCATCATAAGCCTCATTCACAAACTGTAGGATCCAGACCAAAGCTAACTCAGCAGTGTTGTCATGATTACATTTGTGTACGACGTTTTCACTTGTGCGTCACATGAGAGCAAGTTAGACATAAACCCCGCCCCCTTAATATCAAAGTTTGCTTTTGATCTGAAGACAAAGAACAAACAATGCAGTGTCCTGTGAAAACTGTTAGCCTATCAGACTGCTTGGTACGCTGCTAGCATGCTAGTCTGGTAGGCTAGCAGGCTTATAGCCTCTCTGACTGTTAGTGTGGCAGGTTGTTAGGCTGTTAGCCTGTCAGACTGTTATTGTATTAGCCTGGGAGGTTTTGGCCTCTCAGACTTTTAGCCTGTTAGCTTGGCAGGCTGTTAGCCTATTTGCCTATTGGACTGTTGGGTCGATTATGCGGTTGTAAGCCCGTCAGACGTTTTGCCTGACAGGTTGAAATGTCCAAAAGAGACATCTTCAGAGAGTCAGAACCTAGATCCAGGATCAGGTCCAGGATCAGGTCCAGATCCAGTGTGAGAGCAATAACGGTCTGTTTCAACTGCTTCAGGATAAAGATGCAGCGACAATCAGACAATGATGTCACAGTGTTGATCAGCTGGTGTATTGATCGTGTTTTGCACTGAGCTGAACTAATGTGAATTCTAATAAAGATGTCTGAATGAATTTTTAAAACCACGTGAGGTCGGAGGTGAACAGTTCTGAAGACGTCCGGGGAAAACCTGAACTCTGTCCTCACTGCAACAGAATATTTCTTTCTAAGTTGTTCTATGGTTCAATTTCAGTTCTCAGCTGAGCTTTTTAAAGATCAGGTCATTCAGCTTCACAGAGACTTGTCTGACTTCCTCTTCCCTTCAAACAAAGCCGTGGTCACATGACAATGGTCTCACCTGTCATTATCACTTTATCACAAGTTCACACCGTTTTACTGAAGATCTGTTTGAAATTCTGACTCCAGGTGGCATATGACCATGGCTTCAGTCCCAGCATGCACCTCTTCTGACTTTGGCATCAAACCAAAGCAGAACAGACTGTGTGTTGACCTGAACATCGACGTGTCACATTCATAGACTGTCAATAAAGATGGACGACAGCTCCCAAATGTGAAGCCAAAGCGTCTCCATTGCCCCCTGGTGGCTGGCTGCGGTATAGGTCATTAACCCCTCCTCCATGTTAGCTGATGGGAAATGGACCAAAGAAAAACTCAGCATAGACATTAAACAAATGTTTGTCAAAGATGGTTTCTCTCATTTCAGGTAGTTCTCATCACACTGATGTTTGTTCATGTTTCTGATAAGTTTGTTTTTAATTAGTTATTTGACGATATCAAAACGGGTTGAGACATGATGGACAGCTGAGGTTGACTCCTGATTGGTCGAGTGCATGGAAGGGTGGGATCTTGATACCACGGCTCCACTGCACAGACTCTGACTCCAAATGACGTCACCAGCACAAGATGGCAGCGTTCGTATCAGAGATATTTTAGGTTCTTTTAGTGCAACGGTAGTAAGTGGAGACACGGCGTCCATCTTTATTTATGGTCTGTGGACACATCTGACAGAAACGCATGATCCAGGCTCATTACTGTAGTACCACTGTGAAGTACTCTAAGTATTCAGGGCTGAATCCAGGATCAGAGACCAGGTCTACATTCCTCCAGCAGAAACTCCACCAGCCTCCAGACAAACTGTGCAATTTTCTGAGTATTTAAAAAGTCTGTTCACTCGTCTCAGTGTTTAAATAATAAAAACTATAATTTACCACCTGTGATGTGTGTGTAACAACAGAGGGTGTCCTCAGTACTTCACTCTGCTCAGTACTGTACTCGTGTAGTACTAGTGCTATGCAGTAACTAATATTAGATACTCTGGTGATGATGATGCTCTGTGTCCCCTTCAGGTGCAGGACCAGCTGTGTGGACAGCTGTGATGCGTTCAGGTGCACTCTGTACAGTTGGTGTTCGTTTCTAAACTGTCTCTAAACATCTTTTTCTATCTTTATGTCATTTGTACTTTTCCACTCTGAACTTTCTGAACCTTCAAAATGAAAAAGCTTCATGTAAATAACTCACCGACGTGTTGTTGACATGTTTTTGAATAAACATTTCTCTGCACACTCTCTTGTTGGTCACACGTCAGGAAGCAGGAGTCATCACAGACTCAACCCACAGGGGGCGCTGCTGTCAACACTAAGGCTTCAGAGATCTCACCTGCGGTTAACATCTGGTTAACAGTTAGTAACTAGCTACACCGTGGTAATATTACTGTAATACACAATAGTACTTCAGTAATAGTACAGTAACTAACTGTTAACCACTGGTGACCAGAGGTCAGGTGACAAGTGTGCGGAGTAGTGAAGGTCTCTGTGGAGGACGTATGCGGGGCAGGAGGATTGGGACGCGGCCGGTTCTCTGAGGCATAAACATTGACTTTTGTCTCAGTTAAACTTCAGTCAACAGGTTCCAGTGACAGAAGAGACAGGTCAGTGGAGGACGGAGACACAGGAGACAGATTCATGGAGGACAGACACCAGAGCCGGAGCAGGGGAACCGAACTCAGTGTGTTCATGCTAACTTCAGAGGATCAACAAAGTTTCTGCTGTTAGCGGTTAGCTCCGTTAGTTGTGTTAGCTCCGTTAGCTCTGTTAGCTGCCGGCTCGTTGGATAAAACAACATCAGCGCACGTTTTCCATGTTGAACCCGTGAAGAGCTGCAGCTGTTAGCAGACTTAACAAACTGTGCGACGCTAACAGCAACTCACCGCGGCTGGTTAACCGGAGCTAACTAACTGGACACACTAACCCGGACCTAACTAACCGGAGCTAACCAAAAGAGCTAACTAACCAGAGCTAACCAAAAGAGCTAACTAACCGGAGCTAACCAAAAGAGCTAACTAACCAGAGCTTCACTCAACAGGTTTACTCGGATTTGATCCGAAGGACGAAGGAGAGACATTATCGTTACCAGCTCAACTAGTTTACTGAGGTTAAAAGTACTAATACACAATGATACTACAGTTATACTGCAGTAATCATACAGTAACACTACAAGAATTCTATTATTAGTATGACAGTAATAGAAAGTAACACTACAGTAGTTATGCAGTAATATACAGAAATACTATGCTAATACACAGGAATAGTACAGTACAAGAACACGTGATAAAGTACTATTTGTATGGATCAGTTACTGTGACAGTGTTAAGTTAGGATTATTATTGTTACTTGGTTTTTCAGTGAACAGTGAGAGATCATTGATTTCCTGCCACAGAAACATGGATGATGGTTTGAGCTCTTATTGATCAGCTGGGGTTCCTCAGGTAAATGTAAGAAAGTAAAAAAATATAAACACATCATCTGAACCTACAGATCAGTGAGTAAAAGTACTTGTGATAATAATACTTTATGATAATAGTTACATCTGCAGAAGATGAATCAGTGAGTCGATCAACAGCTTCTTATCATCAATGAGCAGCTCGTTATCAGACTCTGATTATCTCTGTTTACATCAAATGTGATGAAGGTTCTCTGTCTCACCTGTGCAGGTGGAGCCTCACACTCAGAGGTCAGCATGTTGTTTCTGTGACGACGACCCTGCTGTACTCAGCGGACTCCTGTGACGCGCCGCGGTTTCTACTGCTGTCCTCTGATTGGTCAGCTGTTACCTCTCCGACAGGATGCAGCTGAACAGTCAAATGTTTAGGCGGAGCTCCAGACTCAAGAAGTTGACGGCTGTGCTGCTCGCCGCCTATGCCGTCAAAAAACTGTCCCCGTACGTCTGGAGGAGGATACAGGTGAGACAAACAGACACACACATATATATTGTGTGCAGGTAACTGTGTGTGTTTGTTTTGTTTTTAGAGAAGTGCAGCAGGAAAACAGCCGGGTGGAGCTAACCTCCCTGTGGGCGTGGTCACTTCTTCTGAGGAGACTAGCAGAGAGAAGAAGATTGACAGCAGGTGTGTATGTTTTGGGTTTTTTGTATGTGTATGTGCATATTATGGACCTGTTTCTATGACGACAGATGTCTCTTTGTGTCTTCAGGTCTCCGTCAGTCAACAGGGAGTTTGTCGTCAGACTGTCTCGTCTGTTGAAACTTTTGTTTCCACGGTTACTATGTCCAGAGGTCGGTCTGTTGGTTCTGCACTCCATCACTCTGATGTCCAGGACCTTCCTGTCCATCTACATTGCTGCTCTGGATGGTCTGTCCCCATCTGTCCTCATCTGTCCTAGTGTGATCGTCCGGTGTATCAGATGTTAATCATCAGTGTTTTTGATTGTGTGCAGGTGTGATCGTCAGGTGTATCGTGCAGAAGGACCCTCAGGCGTTCATGCTGCAGATCTCTAAGTGGCTCCTCGTCGCTGTTCCTGCAACTTTCATCAACAGCGCCATCAGATTCCTGGAGGGTCAGCTGACCCTTAGGTTCAGGAGCCGATTGGTCAACCACGCCTACCAGCTGTACTTTACCAACCAGGTAATGCACACACACACGCAAACACACACACGCAGCAGAAATTATGTTTGTGCTCCTGAACGGCTCACAGCACTGTGGTGTCCCTGTGTCTTTGCAGACCTATTACCGCGTCAGTAACATGGACACTCGTCTGTCCAACCCTGACCAGTCTCTCACTGAAGACATCGTTATGTTCTCAGCGTCAGTCGCTCACCTCTATTCCAACCTGACCAAACCCATCCTGGACGTGGTCGTCACCTGCTACACGCTGCTGCGTACCGCCCACTCCAAAGGTTCGTCTACCTCATCACTGAGTCCGTGTCACTGCTGAAACACAAGAGGTCACTGTGACTTTCCTCCCGCAGGAGCAAACACCACCTGGCCCTCCGTCATTGCTGGCCTGGTGGTGGCGTTCACAGCCAACATTCTGCGTGCATGCTCGCCTCGATTTGGGAAACTGGTTGCTGAAGAGGCGAAGAGGAAAGGAGACCTGAGATACATGCACTCACGCATCATCGCCAACTCTGAGGAGATTGCATTCTATGGAGGACACAAGGTAAACAAAGCCCCACCCCTGGTGGACAACTGCAGACGGTACCACCGTCTGGCATTGATTGCTATGTGTGGGTGTGTTGGATTCGTAGGTGGAGATGGCCCAGCTGCAGAGGAGCTACTCCTCCCTGTCGTCTCAGATCCATCACATCCTGTTGAAGCGTCTCTGGTACGTCATGTTGGAACAGTTCCTCATGAAGTATGTTTGGAGCACATCCGGCCTGGTGATGGTTGCTGTGCCGATCATCACCGCCACAGGATACTCCAAATATGGTAAAACTTTACTGTCTGTATTAATAAGGTTCATCAAATATAAACATTGAGGTAATGATAACCTGTGTGACCCTGATGGTCAGACTCTGAGGAGGTGAAGCTGGCTGCCATGGTGATGAAGGAGGAAGAGTTGGTGAGCGAGAGGACGCAGGCGTTCACCACGGCGAGGAACCTCCTGAACGCTGCTGCTGACGCTGTGGAGAGAATCATGAGCTCATACAAGGAGGTGACCCATCCTCCTCCTCTTCCTCCTCCTCCTCCTCTCTCCTCTCTGCTGTCCTCCGTTGGTTTTATGTGTGTTACAGATGTTGAGGTGGCGGCTAGTGATGTCAGAGGTCACGTGTGATGACGTCAGTGTGTCTGTGTGTCTCCAGGTGACTGAGCTGGCGGGTTACACAGCTCGAGTCTCTGAGATGTTGGACGTGTTTGAAGACGTGAATCAGGGAATCTACCGTCGCTATGGTGACAGAGAGGAGGCGTCACCTGGAGGCGGAGACGTGATCCAACATGGTCACAGAGTCTGTGGACGACTGCAGACCAGAGGTTGGTCACAATGAGTGAAGCTGTGATCAGATCAGCTGATGAAGAGGAGACACCTGCAGTTCCTTGTCCTCCATGACAGACCTCCGTCATGTCGGAGGTCACAGGAGGACAGGAGCTTTGGTCTGAACTTCAGTTAGAGGTGTCGGTTAGAATGACCCTAGTGATGTCATCGGTGATGTCATCAGTGAGACATTAAAGACAGTGGTGGATTTTAACAGTGTCTCATATAATGATGGATGTAAACACAATAATGACCACTGGAGGTCAGTGTTGAGTTGACAATCGGGACAGTAACCAATCACAGTTCAATCATTAATCAATCACTGTTTTCAGGTCATGTGATCAGTGTGGAGAAGGGGATTCGCTGTGAGAACTTGCCAATCATCACACCGAACGGAGACGTGGTGGTGTCCAGCCTCAACATTCAGGTAACGCTAATACACACACACACACACA